AAATTGTTATCTTTTAAAAGGAGCCGCCAAATTCCATACTATAAAAAGATTTATTGTATATACTGTATAATTATCTGTGTTTTGTGAATATTTATTTAGTGTCATCGTTTTAATGTCTTTAATGAATTTCTATTATAAATATAGAAGCTAATAAAGATATTAATAAAATAATTTTTTGGTTAAAACAAATAAAATTTACAAAGTTTATTACCAATAATTAATAAATTTACGTAATAATAAACATGAAAAATTTTTTAAAAATTTTTCGCTGTTTCTTCCACTTATTTAGGTCACTCTCCTGACTCTACGTTTGCTCTAGTCTCTCAACCTTTTCTTTTACAACTTCCAACCGGTCTTCTTTAGACGCATCGACGATTCTCTCCATTAAGCCATCCATACGGCGGGGTGTAATTCAATAGTACATCTTGCATCTTTTTGGCGAGTTAGCCTACTTTCCGTCTGTTTTTTCCAATTTCCTCCTCCCGATGTTAGCAACTTCTGCCGTTCTTCGTTCCTTCCTTCTCAGTTTCATAATCCTCTTATGATTTTCTTCGATTATCATCATCAACGTTTCTTCCAATTGGGAGGGATATATAGCGGGGCCTGATATCTCCGGTCGTGTTTTATTATTGGAGTTAGAACTAGTACGCGTATCCCCTGTCGCTTTTTCATCTCAAAGAATATAAGCCATTCTTTCTCGTCTTCACTTTCGCACACGGACCTCTATTCCACGAAACGTTTTCGTCATCTGCATCATAAGCCAAGCGAAAAGCAACCAGCAACCTTATCGACTTTTGGGAGAGTATCCATCTTCGTCCCTATCATTTTCCTCACCGCATCATCATAATCAAGTGATGGTTCATCTTCAGACGATACAATATTATTTCCGCAGAATCGACAAAATCTAAGAGAGATCAATCTAAAGAATAAAAAAAAAAAGTGATTATAGTTTATCCGTTGTAATAAAAAAGTTTAATGTATTCATCACATTTACTGACCTCTGCGTCACAACTAAGGCAATAAGGAGACTCATCTCGCTGAGTTTATCTATCCGAAAAATAATCTACAATGAGTGAAAGAGATAATGGATATTTCTGAATTTATCTTATGAATAGTAATGACTGAACGATCCATTTTATGTGAATATCATACCTCGCCCTTCTCGTTGTCTATCTCGTTGGAAATGTCTTTGTTCTACTTTCCCAAAAAGATTGGATGATTGTTGTTCGGATGGACTCTTAAAGAAGTCGTCGATCTCATCCTACAGAAATGCATAAGATAACATTAATATATAAATTGACAGTTAATATATTAACTATTTCTGCTGTTCTCACGACTTCTAGATAATAAGAGGCATATGTACCTTTTCCCAACCTCTTTTGATCCATCAGTTATCGTTTCCCATATTTCCAATCACATTTTTTTTTTCTTCTTTAGATTGATCTCTCTTAGATTTTGTCG